GGATGGGAGACTGTGATGAAGTGATTCAACACAATCTGCTGCTTTCTTCTTTACATTGTTCTGTTTATGTACAGTGTCCTGAGACAACGTATGTTGGGACTTGGCGCTACAGTATATAAATAAACTGAATTGAATTGATAGTATTTTGTACTTTTATCAACTAGCAAGTCTTTGTTTTTAGGTAGTGTTTTGCTAATTTTAGCTTTTAGTTAGAATTTGTTACTTGTAGCTTTTTGCTACAATTAGCTTTTAGCAAGATATTAGATATTTTAGGCCTTTAGTCACTGCTTTTTCGGTTTTAGCTAGTGTTTTGCAACTTTTACCATCTAGATTGCCTTTGACGTCTTTAGTAAGTGTTCTGCTTCCTTYAGCTTTTAGTTAGCTTTTTTCTACTTTTAGCATTTAGTTGGTGTTTGTTATTTTTAGCTTTTAGCTAGTCTTTTGTAATTTTATCAACTAGGAAGTATTTTAATGCTTTTAGGTAGTGTTTTGCTAATTTTAGCATTAGTTAGCGTTTGTTTTGCCCCTCGTATGACGTTCTGCTTATTTTGATAGTTTCGGCTTGTTAAACCTTTGGTTAATAGGTTTCTTCTTTCTTTAGCTAGGTGTTTGAGTTGTTTTAGCTTTAATCACTCTGTTTCGGCCCTCAGCGTCTCTTTAGCTGCTCGTTCTGTCAGAGACAGTTGGGTTCTCTCACCGTCAGGAATCAAAGGCGTGGGCGGTTTCACCACGGTCCAGCCGGCCTTCTTGAACATGTCGACCTGAGGGAAAAAGGCGARGAGTCATAAAAATGATTTGTTTCCAGCAGGGGGCAGCAGAGCTTCGTTCTGGCTGAGAATACCTGGCGACACGGGCGGTCCGGGTTGGACAGAACCAGTCCCGGTCCGATGATGTTGAAAGTAGCATCGATGTGCATCGGGTTGGGGTCCTTGAAGGAGATGATGTGGACCTTGTAGTCCGGGGCCAGATGACGCCTCATCCACTCGATTCCTGAGTAGTTTGTAACCTGGGCCAGAACGGTAGGTGGGAATGATCCTGGCTGTAGGTTCAGCTGGACTCGGACCTGAATGGGTTTCTGGTTCCTACCTGACTCCTCTGGACGAAGAGGTCCCTTCCAGCCCGGATGAAGTCAGCAGCATCGAAGCAGGGCTCGTGCTCTGTGGTCACAAACTTGCCCTGAGCAGCCAGCTTGTGCCGGTCCTCCACGGTCCGGATGGGGTAGTCCTGAATGAAGCAAGAACTCAGGTGAGATGAAGACCCTGAATGAGACCTTTGTGGACCACCTGCAGCGGGTCTCACCTGGTCGTACAGATCATCAGCCATGGTGGGTTTTGGAGCAGTGGTCCACTTGGCTCCTCTCCTGAAGTACTCCTTAATCAAAGGTCTGTAGGCCCGGTACTCAAAGAACCGAGACCTCCAGGCCATCGGAGCCTCGATGATTTCATTTCCCACAACGATCAGGATGTCTCTGGGCATGGCAGCGTACATACCTGCAGCAGCAGCAGAAATAATCCTTCATGTCTGTAAAATTACCCATGAGCCTTTGCAAACAGAGATCTGAACCGAGAGCCAAAGACTGAGTGACACCTGGCTCAACTTCTGTCTCGTTTGCTCTGTAAAACTGGATGTATGGCAAGCAGTTTTACTATATAATGTGAACCCCCTCAGAATCACGTTTCATGGTTTACGGACTCAGTCTTGTGGATTTTTTACAGTACAGTGTGCCCACGTTCCACCTGGAGTGTAACACTTCAGCTACCTGTTCACTGTTACAGTACTGTGTGGAGATGCTAACTGCTAACAGTTTAGCTCTCGCCTTTTTTAAAGTTCTTGCCACATTAAGATGCCACCCAAATGCGCTGCACCTTTTAAGACTTCCTCCAGTAAATCGAAGCATAAGAAGGTTTCAAAGATGCTCCAGGAGGAGGTTGAATTACTTAGAAAAAACTAAATTATTACGGCATTGAGGAAATTTGGAAGATGTGTAGGCGGGACATTGGAATATGTGTAGGTGGGACTTTAGAAGATGTGTAGGCGGGACTTTAGAAGATGTGTAGGCGGGACATTGGAAGATGTG